CACTTGGCTGTGAGCTCACTGAGAACAAGCACTCCCCTTAGTCTTCTATTTTCCAGATGCCTGGCACGCAGCAAGAATCTTGCGGAATCTTGGCTTTAGAGGAGACCTTAAAAGACCACTGGTCAGTTCTCCAAACCCTTCCACTGTGCCTCTCAAAGGCAAACAGCAGCCTCTGCTTGATACCCTCCAGGAGCGGGGAGCTCATGGCCTTCTGAAACAACTCATGCCTCCTTGGCCTCTGACCGTCATGACAGTTGACCTTTATGTTGAGCCTAAACCCATCTCCCTGTAGCTTCTGTGCTTTTGGTCCCTGTTCTTTCCCTTATGACCACATAAACAAGCCTAATTCCTCTTCTTCAAGACAGCTCTCTCTGGAGACTTGAATCCAGGTGTCCTGGTCTCTCTGAAAGCGAGATCTTTCTCCCCTTGTTCAGGTAAACAGCCCCGTCCCCTCAGACATTCCCAAAAGGGAATGCCTTTGAATTTCTTCATGCTCATCCTTACGCTTTTTCTCCTCCGATCATTGTCTACTTTTATTGATTAACAACATCTTAAATGTACACTGCATTCTTGTTACTGACAGGGACAGTGTTGCACAGGTCTCTAGAACTTACTCATCTTGCATAATTTAAACTGTATGCCTGCTGATTAGCAACCCCTCATTCTCCTTCCCCCCAACCCCTGACAACCACCGTTCTACTCCGATTCCATGAGTGTGAGTATTTTACGTACCTCATCTAGGAGGAATTTGTCCTGTGACTGCTTATTTCACTTAGCATGATGCCCTCAAGGTTCCGCCGTGTTGTTGCGTATGGCAGCATTTCCTTCTTTTTTTTCTTTAAGGCTGAATAATGTCTAACAAATATCCTTTTTCTTATTTCCCTTTAAAAGTGTGGCTCTCAGCACTGTTCCCAGGCTCTGAGTTTCTCTAACCTGCATTGAGAGAGAGTAAGATTATCCCTTCCTTTATTTCACTGATTATCATTTTCACCTGTCTTCGTTACCCTACTGAGCTGGGTTATCTACAACTAGGGCCTTTTGTCTTGTTCTCCTGCTAAGCAGTGTCCTTTGCTTCCTGAGCTCCTGTACTGGTATTTTGTCCCCAGGGTAGGATGTTACAGCTTTCCCAACCAAATCTCATTTTGCTACCCTTGGTCTGTCTACCCATTTCTCCTTCTGAGGGCTTTTGGGATCCTGAGTCTTTATCTGAGTTATCCTTCTCTCTTCCTAGCCTCTCCTTCTGGGTAAGATACAATAAGCCTGGCTCCTAAGCCCATATCCAAGGCACCGACAAAGGCTTTGGCCGAGGCAGGGCAGAGGCCAGCGCTCTGCAGCAGGCCACCAGAGGTTCTCTGTAGGACCACGGGACTCAACATCTGGTCCCGTCTGTGCTGCATAGGAACCACCTATGATAAATCATCTTTAAAATACAGATTGTTGATGACTCAGAAATACAGAATCAGCATTGAAAGAAGTGGGGCCTGGGAACCTGTATTTTTAATAAGCTCTCAGGTGATCTCAACGTGTAGCCACGCTAGGGAATCATCAACTCCAGAGTTCGCTGAGTTCAAAAGCCACAACCAATGCCAGGTTGATCTGGCCCAAAGCTGACATCTCAGGTGTCCAGCCTGATGAGGCGGGGGCAGAGCTACAGCCAAGCACTGCCTGGTTCTATAAACATAGCCCACCCATGCTGCACACCCACCTGGGCAAGTGCTGCACAGCTGCTCCAGGCTTTTCTCTGCTCCTTCCTCCCTCTGCCTCCTCTGCTCTCAGCTTCCCTCTCTCTGGCTCTGTGTCTTGGATTTTGGAACCATGTTTGAACCCCTGTGCCCCGACCCCAGTTCACCAGGGGTGCTCTGTAGACAGCTCTGGTTTGTTCGCCCCCATGGCTCCCACAGAGACTCCTCTTCTAGCCCTGGTACCATACTGAAACAAGCCACTGCTGGGTATGAATTAGTCTTCATTTAATACGTGGTCCATGCCTGTGGCTGCTCAAGGCTAGGACCTCACTTATTCAGATTCACGTCATCTTCAGATTAGTTTTGTTCTCACGGGGTCTACATTGCCGCGAGCACAATATCCTGGGGTTGGTACATGGTAGGTGCTTCCTAAATTTTCCTGTCTGACAGCTTCTGCCCATGAATTCCTTTCATCCACTTCTGTTTACCACTGTTGAAGCACTTTTAGTCTGATGCAATAACTGGAAGTAGTGAAAATACCACAGGCTTCTAAGCGAGACTGACTTGAGTTTGAATCTCAGTCCCACCACTTTTCAGCTGTACGGCCTCACAGGAGGTAATTAACCTTTACGAACATAGGGCATCACAACGCAAATGAGAAGTGTGGGCTGGGTGTCTGAGGACACTTTCAGCTCTCACATTGTCTGACTAAGTCACGGACCTGCCCTTTCTCACTGGTTCCCTACTTAGGGCTCCTCGGAAGGTAATTCTTTGCAGTCAAGCCGTGCTTTTCAAATCAAGCTGCAGGAATCTCTTCTCCCAGCAGCACGTGGCAGGCTGTCTGCAGTCCTCCTGAGCATAATCACTCCACAGGCATCCCCAGCCCCATTAATCAGCAGTCCTGTCACTTTAATTCAGCAGCACTCCACCACTCACCTAAGTAATTAATCTGGCTTCTGCCCGTGAATTCCTTTCATCCACTTTTGTTTACCACTGTTGAAGCACTTTTTAATCAAAACAATTAAATATGCTAAATCTTCCCCAATTAGTAATGCATTAAAAATCAAAAGTGCTTGAATGGAAATGGTGGAAGCAGCCCTTTGCCTGGTTCTGAGTGCTGGTGCTTGCAACGTCGCTTCTCCCAGGCACTTTCCACTTGGGGTTATTCAGAAACCATCGGGCACAGAGGCACGGAGGTGCACAGGGCTGCGGCTGAAGGGGGCCTCGGAGATAAACCAGTCCAACCAATTCTCTCTGTAAATGGGACACTGAGGCCCTGTGAGATCATGGGCCCTTTCTAAGCTCATAGAGGGTGTCATGATGGGGATTTTGTTTTGTTCTGTTTTGCTTTTTTAAAAAATACAATCTGTATATATTTAAGGTATGCAACATGACAATTTGATATGCAGATATAAAATTAAATGATGACTAGACGAGCTAATTCACATATTTTCTCACATAGTTACCTTTTTTGTGTGTATGAGCGAGCCCCTGAAGACTACTCCCTTTGCAAATATCCAGAATTCAATACGATGTTGTACCTTGGTCCTCAGGCTGTGCATTGAGTCTCTATACGCCCTCAGCCCACGTGGCTGAGCTGTGTTCCCGGGGACCACGGCTTCCTGCTTCCTGGGGCCACTGTTCTACCCTCTGCTTCTCCATATGTGACTGCGTCAGATTCCACGCATAAGTGAGATCATGCAGTATTTGTCTTTTTGTGTCTGGCCTATTTCACTTAGCATAATGCCCTCCAGGTTCATCCATGTTGCTACGAATGACAGGGTCTCTTTATTTTTTAAGGCTGAATGATATTTAATTTTATATGTGTGTGTGTGTGTGTGTGTGTGTATGGTGGGGCAAAAGTAAGTTTACAGTTGTGAGTATACAAAACACATAGGTTATTCTTGTATTATTATCTTTTAATTATTGTATTATTTTCCATACAAATGACTGTGAACCTACTTTTGCCTCACCCTGTATATATTCACAATTTTTTTTATCCATTCACCTGCACAACTGAGATTTGAATGCAGGATTTCTGACTTCTAAGACTTTCCCATCAGAAGCCCTTACCAAAGGACTCATAGCCCTGGTTTCCTCCCTCATTTTCTTCATTCACCCATCACTGTTCTGAAAAAAGTTCCCGAGCTCCTCCTCCGCGGAGATGTTGCTCTACTATGCTGACAGGAGAGTGGGGGAGAAGATAAAAGCCCTTGAACTCGCGGAGTTTGCAGTTTAGTGTGGATGCAGGCAGGTAAAATTTGTTGCTGAACTCTCCCGTGAAAATATTCAATCCAACCCTCAGCTCAATTGAATTATAGCACTAAATGAATTTTCCTTTGTGGTTACCAGAATAATATAATAACATAATAATTATTATACACTTGCAGTTAATTAAAAGCAATGATATTTCAAAAATATAAACTTCAGTTTATACCTTCAGAAGACTTTTGCTGCAGAAAGAGTCGAGCTCTGCAGCAGTGATCCATGTCTTGCTCCAATCTGCTTTTCTAGCCTTATCTTGCCAGGCCGACCAAGGGATGGAAACCCAGCTCTGTTCATTTACAGGCTGTGGGATCAAGACTAAATGACTTTACTGTTTTGGATATTATGTTCCTCATCTGCAAAATGCAGGTTCCTCAGCGGGACAAATACAGAGATGTAGACAGATACAGAGATTGCAAATGTGGGACGCACAGTTCTCCTGGGGTGAGAAGGCAAGCACACTCCCCTTGGAGAGGTCTCCATCTTCTAACAGCACTCTGGCCTCTCTGGGGAGCAAAGAGAACTTGGGCAAAAAGAATCGTGACAACTCTGATCATTCAGGTTCAAACAAGGCACACTGGGAGATCTGAAGGAAGATGCAAGTATTCTGATCCAAAAATGCTTCCTGGCGTAAATGGCATCTGAATTGGAGCTTGAGTAGACTTTGGAAAGATAGCAAAAGGGAGAGAGAAAGGGGTAACATGTACAAAATTGCAGAGTGACAATGGTCCAGCACTGTGCAAGGCACAGAGGTATGTGGAGATGGGTTAGCATCACTGCCCCAAGGAGGCTCAGGGGAGAATGTACACAGGAAAGGGACCTAGCACTTTGGAGCAACTAGTACATGCAATACATATTCCTTCTCATTTCAAGAATTATTTGGGCTGGAACCACACCAAAGAGAACACTGAGATTTGGGTAAAGGAGGTGGATTTCAACCCAGATGTCTTAGACTCCAAAACCAAAGCTAGCTTTTACTACTGTGAGCTGGTTGTACCATCATAACAGTCTTTCAGCATCTCAGCATTTTGCTTTTCTGTCTCCCTGCTGCAGGTGTCACCTATGAAGATGTCCAGACATGCTTCGGAGGGTCTTTTGGGCTTTCTTATGCCTTTTCGAGTGGCGTACTGATTGGAGGAGGTTTATCAGGAAAAAACTGTAAAAAATCTGGAGGTGGGAAAAGTGGTAAGTATGTGGTAAAGAGGCTTCCAGAAAGAAAAGCCAGACTTTTCCTTGAACACACAATCAAGGCATGGAAACGATTCCCTGCCTCCCCCTCCCTTTCCCCAGATTGATTCTATTCCAGCCAATGGTCAAACTGCATAGTTGCTAAATACCCCAAGCCAATGACCCTTACTGGCTCCATTTTTGAATCCACCATGGATTGAGATCACCTTAGAAACACTTGACTTTGTATAACACACACTCCTAGATTTCAAACACTAGATAAAGATCTAAGGAAGACCTAGGATGAAAGAAATGTGTAGACAGAACCTGACAAATCAACAGTTGAGAAAAAGGCCCATCAGGATACAGTCCAGATGGAGGAAAGAATTCCCTGAGAGAGGAGAATTTGGTTACCAAGTCCAAGCTCAAAGAATAATTATTAGAGGAAGATTATACTGGAATATTTTGTGGCATTTCCTGAACAGGTCAATGTGAGTGTTGATGTATTGTCATTCATCATTCATCAAACACATATTGAGCATTTTTTTTCAGGTGAGAGACAAGAGAGAGCGCAGGGATGATGAAAGAGTTCATAGTGCAGTGGATGAGTTAGATACGAAACAGGTTCAAGTTACTCCCATTGCATTAGGCTACTCATGCCTCAGGGCCTTAACTCAAATTGCTACTTCTTTCTGATGCCCTCTCGTCCTCTCTCCATTTCCCTGCAAAGATTCATTTATTTTCCTAGAAAACTCACTTTTCTGCCTGAACAGTCCCCTACCCTACTGTAGATCTGACCGTGTCTTTCTCTGCACCCCTACTGAGCCCCACAGAGACATTCACTGTTTAATTGAACCTCTTTGGCATATAGCAGGCACTGAGTAAGCATTTGACGTGTGAGTGAATAAATGAATGGATTACCATCCATTTCCCACCCTCTCCCTCCCCGGTGCTGGTGGGAGCACTGTCTGCTCTAACCCGGAGGACTGGTCTATTGCTAAGCCTTGCTCCTTCCCTTCTGCTTTGTCCTTTAGCTAACTAGTTAACGGAGTCAGGTAGGAGAATGGACAACAGCTCTAAGGACAGCATAGAAACTTCGTCCCAAACCTCATTAGTGGCGCTTGCGAACCTGTCCTTTGGCTTTTTAGGAGATGAGCTAATGCAGTCACCCTCTTGATAGATAACGAAATTAAGAACATGGCTGTGGAGGACATTGTTGCTCGGGTGCGAGGTGGCAATTCTGGCCGGAGCGCCCACTTGGCTGAGAACTCCAGCATCATTTCGTATCGTTCCTGGGGGAGGTCATTAAAGTATAATCCTGCTGTTATTGATTTTGAGGTAAGTCTTTTCGCAGTTGAAGAAACTCTACGTCCATGAGGAATGAAAGTGAAACAGACCAGATCATTTCATATTTCTTATTAGGAACCCATCAGAGAACAAAATTAAATGTTAACGGCACACTGGACTGGTTGGTTGGTGGCCTCCCCACGCCTGATTCTAGGGAGCTCTCTAGGCCGCAAGAGAACTGAGACCAGAAGCATAATATCTGGCCAGGGCCTAGTTTTATAGTAGTTGTCCCAGAGTTTCTTTAGGATTGGGTGAAATTTAAAAAAAATGCTACTTTGTATTTATACATACAAGACTTAAAAAACACACATCTGTTAAATTGGAGGTGGGCAGACTTTTTCTATAAAGGAACAGATAGTGAGTATTTTAAGCTTTGTGAGCTACATCCCATTTCTGTTACACAGGTATTACTTCCCTTTTTTTTTTTTTTACAATCTTATAAAAATATAAAAGCCATTCTTAGTTCAAAGGCCATATGTGGGTGGAATGTGGTCCTGAGCTGTAATTGTAGTTTGCTGCCCCTGCTCTAAATGGTCTCATCCCTTCACCATGGCTTCAAGGACATGATTCTCCCCATTGAAAAGATCTGGAAACTGAGGCCCCAAGGACTCAAGTGATTTGTTTAAGGTCCCAGAGCTCATATGTAGTAGTACCTGGATCTCAGACCTTTGGACTTCACATCCAGCTTTCATTTCCATCTATCCTAGTATCTTCCTTAGAGCCATGGTTATCAACCACTGGGGGCAATTTTGCTCACACCGGCAAATTTGGCCATGTCTGAAGACATTTTTGACTGTTACAACTAGGGGGTTATTGCTGACATCTAGGGTGTAGATACCAGGGATGCCCCTAAACGTCCCTCAGTGCAAAGGATAGCCTCCACCACAAAGAAATATCTAGCCCTAAATGTCAATAGTGCCAGCATTGAGAAACCCTGCCCAAATCCCTAACCTTACAAAGGGGGCAAAATTGTATTCAAACTACAAATAAGTAATGGTTCTACCAGTTGTCAAACTACTTCTATTCATATGCAAGGGTAATCCATTAAAAAAGTTATATTTGGGGCTTTTAAAGAAAATATTATTGTTTTCCTGCCTACTTTCTCCTGACCCTTGCCAATTTTCTACATATGATTAAAGTTCCTCTTCTTAACATATGTACCAATAGCTAAACCTGAAAGTCTATTATAACACCCTGATGTCTATGAAGAAATAGATAAAATGAATTAACCCCTATTTTAGCTCTTCACTAAGTAAGGGACCATTTTCACACACCTGTGATTCACATGAGGCCTGAAAATTGCTGTCATCAGGCTATTAGTGATTTGGGCAAAAACTGTAAAATTGATATCAGGAGTACTATATAAGCTTTCACAGACAAGAGGTGAATTTTTCGTTTGCCTCGAGCAAAACTTCCAAGGGGAAGACAGAAGGATTTGGAAAAGACAGAATGCCATCTTCTGGGAAAGAGAACTGGGTTTGGGGTGAGACAGATACACTTTGGCTCATGGCTCAGCAACTTTTTGATGTGTAACCTTTGACAAGTTACTTCATTTTCTGAGCCCCATTTTCATGCCCTTTAACGTGGGGATAACAGAGTGTTATGTCACAAGGTTAGGGAGAGAGAAGAGGGCACTTAGTAGATGTCAGTTGAAGAAACAGGCTCATAGAGATTAAGTGAGCTGGCCAAGGCTTGTGCCTGGTAAATGGCAGAGCCTAACCTGAGCCATGTCTGACTGACTCTAACACCCACAACCACAACCCATGTGACCCCTTAATGGCTTGGATTCCATGCATTAAGATGCTGGTGGGTTATAGAGCAAGGAAATGGCACAGCTGGAGCTGTGCTTTACAAAGGGAATGCTCACAGTGGCACGGAGGATGAATCGAAGGAGAGAGAGAGATTGGACAACGGGACCAGTTAGGGGTATTTGCAACCTGAGGGTCAGAGTGGAAACGGTTGCTCACCCACACATCCCAGAGCTTAGCAGTACTTCGTCATGGTAGGCACTTAGGCTGAGTGAATATAGGAATCGTGTGATGTGATGATGTGATGCTGCTGTGTTATATATCACTATGAGTTACGTGTTAGGTTATCTTGTGTTGCTGTATCACACCACTTGCCTTCTCTGAACCCATTTTCTCATCTGTGAAATGGGAACAAGACCATTGCCAGTGTCTTTTCGAGCTCTAACATTCTAAGATTCTTCTCCTCCATCTCTCTTCCCTGCCGTAAGCCCCCACGGGCACCAAGGAGTTCTCTTTTCCTCTCACTGAGGGTTCTGGGAGAGGGAGGTGAGAGATGGGGGGAGGAGTGCTAAGCTCCACTGGAAGGTCAAAGGCAAGTTGCCTGGTAGTCCCAGGCTTTCCCTGGAACTAAGAGTCACCTTAACCAGGGCCACAGGGCAGCCCATGCTGCACTGACTTCCTAACAATGGGGCCACCTTGCTTGAGCTTCCAATAAGTTGTGTCCTTCCCTTGGCTGGAGGCCTGACCACTCCTGACATGAGCAGCCCGATGACCTCAGCCACAGCCCCCAACCACAGGCCAAGGTCTGTTTGCCACAGGGCTCTCTGTACACATTTCCAGGAACCCATTCAAGGCTATGGCAATGCCCTCCATTGATTCAGGTTTTAGAGGAGTGAGGTCGCTCCAGTGTGGCTGTCCTCTCTCTGAATTTCCTGGTGACCCTGGCAAATGATTTCTTTCTGAGGGCCTTGGGTGACTGTCCTGTATAGAGATCTGGAAAAGAGTTTTCATTTTATGATTGCGTGTTGAAATACAGAGCATCAAGTGTGCTAAAGGTAACCATATGTACATAAAACTTGAAAAATATAGGCTTTTTTTTTTTTTTTACTGTCATCACTTCTAACTAATAAAAATGGTGGTTTTACATTGTGCTTCCCTTTTGCAGTGGTATCTCACATTCATTATTTCTTTAGATCCTCATAAGAAATCTAGGACATAGGCTATAATTTCCATTTTGTGGATGCTGAGGCTCAGGTTGAGAGAAGGGTAGTTAGGAGTTGAGCCACAAAGCTAGGGAGTGAGCAGCATTTATTTAGCTTTTACTATGTGACAGGCTGTCCCCATCCATCGACTTTCACCCTCACAATAAACCTGAGAGGCAGGAATTTGTTCTCACTTTACAGATGAGGAGGGGAGGCTCCGTCTGTAACGTGGCCAAGACCACACAACTGGAAGCAGTAGAGCTGGGGTTTGAAGCCAGGTGTCCTGCCTGCACCTTCCCTGCTCTCTACACCTATGACAGTACTTCCCAACCTGGACGGCAACTTCATCCCCCAGGGGACATTTGGCAATGTCAGGAGACAGTTTTGGTTTGCACAACTAGGCGGTGATACTGGCTTCCAGTGGGTAAAGGCCAGAGAGGCTGCTAAACATCCTATAGTGCACAGGAATTGCAGCAAAGAATCACCCAGCTGGAAATTCCCTAGTGGCAAAGTTGAGAAGCCCTGGGCTGCGGTCATGCCTGGGACGGGTTGCCTCAAACGGAAATGACGCCCACCCTTCCCCGTACACGTAATCAGCAGTGACAGCATAACTGCCTGTCAAGGACTTTGCTAATTCCTACATTGAAGGTTGACAATCAACACACACACTCACACACATCCTTTACACTCTTCCCGGCTTCTACAAGTGCTGGAGATGAGTTGGCACAAATGGCTTTTGGGCTCTCATCTTCCTCTGAGATCTGGGAAAGATCTTTCACATATTTCAGAGTTAAGCAGGTCCACGTTCAGAGTGACTCTTGCACTTACTCGCATGATCCTGAGCTGGTCACTCAGAGTCTCCTGAGCCACCACTTCTTCATCCGTGGGCGGGACGTTTAGTTCCTGCTTCACGGAGGGGCTGCCAGCATCTGGTGCAGTGGGACGATGCTGAGTGCCCAGCTCTGCCTGTCCTGGAGCAGGCCCTCCAGGAACTGGATGGCCAGTTCTTGGGCTCTGGGGACCTGGATGAGCCCAGGGAGGGCCCTCTGTTCCTTTTGCGCCCACAGACAAAGCCTATCTACGAGGTGCTGCGGCACACAAACCTGGGACACATGGAGACCAAACGCCAGAACCTGCAGCGGGCCTTGGATCAGTACCTGATGGAATTCGATCCCTGCCGCTGCGGGCCCTGCTTCAACAATGGAGTGCCCATCCTCCAGGGCACCAGCTGCGAGTGCCAGTGTCCCCTGGGTCGTAAGGGCCTTGCCTGTGAACAAATGGAGCAAGAGGGTAAGTAAGGCTCACTCAGGTTCAAGCCCGGTCCAGCTCAGAGAGGCCAGTGCAGGGAGGGCTTTGGGGTTGCCAGTCTCTCCGTCCTGTGGTTCTGTGCCCTCTTGCCCATTACCCTGAAAATGCACATGCTGCCCTGGCCTGTATTGCTCAGTAGTTAGAGTGTCGGCCCCGGCACACCAAAGGATCATGGGTTCAATTCATGGTCAAGGGCGTGTACCTGGGTTGCAGGTTCCATCCCAGCCCCAGTCGGGGGTGCATGCAGGAAGCAACCAATCAATGTGTCTCTCTAACATCAATGCTTCTCTCTCTCTCTCCCCTCCCCACCCCCCACCCTGAAACCCACTGCTGCCAGTTTTCATCTGGGAACCACCTGTAAAAGGNTCCCCTCCCCGCCCCCCACCCTGAAACCCACTGCTGCCAGTTTTCATCTGGGAACCACCTGTAAAAGGGGGATAGCATTAGTATGCTCATGACAGGTTGTGCTGAGGATTAAACTAGCTCTAGCTGACAATGTGGCAGGCTCTGCTGTAATAAGTAAGAGGAAGAGAGAGCTCCATTGGTAGAGGATCTGACCTGGGTTGGCACCTTGTCTAAACCTCTCCATGGGGGCTGAAGGGAGTACAAATTAAGGCGCAGCAAGCTGCCTGGCATCCTGCAGGAGGAATCCTGAGAGGGCTGAGCCACAATGGCGAGTGAATTCCAGAGTCTTGTTGTTGTTGTTGTTTGTTTCTTTGTTAACCCTCACCCAAGGATGTTTTTTCCATTGATTTTTAGAGAGAGTGAAAGGGAGGGAAGAAGGGGGAGGAAGAGAGAGAGAAACATTGATATGAGAGAGACACATCGATTGGCTGCCTCCAGCAAGCATTGCCATGGGTGCAGGGGATGGAACCTGCACCCCAGGCACATGGCCTTGACCAGGAATCGAACCCATGACCATTCTGTGCATGGGCCAAATGCTCTAACCACTGGGCAACATTGTCCAGGGCAAATTCCAGAGTTTTTATGAAGGTGGTTGCAAAGAATAAAACCCAAGCAGACCAATCACAAGGGTCAAGCCTGGTACAATTTCCTCATGTGAACTGGACAAAGGTGCTGCCTGACAGGTGGGGAAACTGGAAGAAACAGAGAAAACCACTCAGGCCCAATACTGTCCAGCTCCAGGGCCCAAGGATTTCTTGACTTTTCAAGCAGAGTGTGGATGGGACTTCAGCCTCCACTTGCCCATTGGCCAGGCATCTTTCCCAGAGGGACCGAAGGTCAACGAGTAGGAGGAACAACTCACCCTAGTCTGTGCCAGGCACTATTACAACCCTCCATGTGCACTAACTATTTATTCCTCCAAGGATGTTATGAGATAAATACTATTACTAGCCCCATTTTACAGATGAGGAAACTGGAACAGGAGGAAGAAGCGATAACTTGCTCAAAGTCATTAGCCAGGATTAAGACCCAAGTGGTCAGGTGCTAGGACCCACACTGCTGCATTTTATTGATTTACATCCTAAGAGTCAGGACATTTGGGGAATGANGGACCCACACTCTTAACTGCTGCATTTTATTGATTTACATCCTAAGAGTCAGGACATTTGGGGAATGAGGGCAGAGATTCTAGATGGTTGCATTGACTATGATTTTGGGGAGTGGGGAAGGATGGAATGTCCCAGTTCGCAGTTATCAGCCTGACCTGGCTTAAATGGACAAATGTGAGTCCTGCCTAGGTAAGTAAAATTATAGCACATCAAGGAAGGGCCTCAGAACCAGTGACTTACTTGGATCCCTGTCCACACAGCATAGAGACAGGGAGAACAGGGAGTGAGAACTACCTAAACATGCCTCTCAGTGGTCCTATGCTGGGCTCAGAGCTGGTCCATTCTGAGTGATCTGTACACACAGTGGGCATTGGAGGAGGGGGACATGATGCCAAAGATATGGAGGGGGCTGGTGGGGCGCAAAGGCCTGGGTCCCCTCCTCACAGCCCCATTCCTCCTGCACAATTACATTCAGTCAGTTGCAGGAAGCTCATGGTGTTCCTTTGACCTTGTTCCAAACAGGGTGTGGACATCAGGTGGCCTTGGGGCTATTAGACTGAACTTTAAACCTGATAGAGATCAATCTGGCAAAAAACCCTAAGGCTGGGGAGTCAGCCATCATGGAGACTCATAGAAGCAGGTCCCTGGGGGTTTTCCCAGCAAACCTTTGTCTGTGGGGACGGAGTCACAGAGGTGGGAGAAATAGCAAGGAAGAACCCTGTTGTGCCTGCCTCACCAGGGAGCATAATTACAGGGCCGGAAGGAACTTGAAGATAATCTAATCCAGTGATAGTCACACTGGGATCTGAGGAAACTTGGGGCCTTAAGGGCTGCCCCAGGGGAGCAGGGCCAACCTGATAGACACCCCAGCTTCAAACAGAAGAGCTCTACTCCCATCTGACTTCCATGTTGGGGTTCATTTCAGAAAATACCCCACAATAATGAAAAGCATAATGATGGAAAAATCCCACCGGATTAGTCCATCCGTCTCATTTTGCAGAGGTGAAAACTCAGGCTGAGAGAGGAGACGAGCTTGCCCGAAGACACAGAGCCGGGAGGAGGCGGCAGCCCCAGGCTAGGGGGGTTGCATGAGCCGGATTTCCAGAGACGCACAGTCGATGCGTGTGTCCTGACGCTCTGAGCAGAGAGCCTGTCACCCACCCTGGCCCCCTTGTTAGAGCCTTGGGGGGTCTGATTTACAGCCCTCATTCAGAAGCCCAGCAATGCTTTCCGCAGGGGGGTCCGTGAACCCCAGCTGGGCTCTGCTCCCTGCCCCTCACACCATCCGTCGGCGTGCCTTTCTTCCAGAGGGACATCCTCCCTGCTTTACTCTGCTAGCCACCTCCCATGGAACCACAGACTCCGGTTTCATGAGACGGGCTCCCAGGGGCCCCTGCTCACTCCGTCCAGAGTTTCAGATTAAGTGTGAGGTGGCGAGCTCGGTGGCTACCACGGCATTGCCCCGAGGAGAGGTTGCGGAGCCCTCTGGGCGGCGGCGAGCTGCTGCTTGTGTGCTAACCTTGCCCCCGGAATGATCTGTGCAGGAGCCAAGGCGGCCGGCGGCTGGAGCTGCTGGGGCTCCTGGTCTGCCTGCTCGGCGGGCGCTCGGGAAAGGAGGAGGGAGTGCAACAACCCGCCGCCCAGGAACGGGGGCGCCGCGTGTCCAGGCCGGAGCGTGCAGGCCCAGCCTTGCTGAGGGCCTCCGGGCCCAGGCTGGGGCCACGCGACCGATGTCACCACCTGCATCCACCACTGGATAGTGACTTCTTGCAGCTGAGAGTACGCGCCAATCAACATGGCCTTCTTCTTTGTCCTGCCAGCTCTCAGGCTTAAGACCTGGCTGTGCCATCTAAACGAACTGTTCTCTTCCCCACAAAGCTCAGTCATTCAACAACTAGGGGCTGAGTGTTAACCAGAGTCTCGGTCCTGCTCACAGCACATTGGATCATCCAAAGAAAGGAGACATCTCAACCCATGTCTTAGAAGAACTTCTCAGATGTTGGAGGTTAGGGGTACAAAGCAGGCACAGGCTCTTGAAACAATCAAGGCCAATAAAACCAAGTTTGATGAGAATTATCTTGGTTCTTTGATAATAATATTTGTTCATTCATGGAATGATTAGTAGCTGGTAGGATAAGCAGACAGTGAAATAATGAGAAAAAATTAAAGATTGACTTGAGTTCCTTCCATTTTCCTTCATTTCCCCTCAACATTTTCTTGTATTCCTTCAAGTAATGTCTTGTTTGCTTAAGTTCTTACCACAATATCACATTTCCCCAATTATTTTCTCACACTGTTCTCTTCCTTCATTGCGTTTTTCAGAATCAGTAATTCTGTATTGTCGCCCATATCTCCGGTGACTATTTATGGCCCATCTGCCCATCCTGAGGGCAGAGGTTAGCTATGTTGGGTTCAGCACTGTATCTCCAGAGGCCAGGGCTGTGCCTTGAGCTGGGAGGGACCTAACCAGCGTCTATGGATAAAGTGAGGGACTGAGCTCAAGAAACAGTTCAAAGATGGGGTCCATATTGGTCAGGCTCCCAGAGTAGAGCATGCGTTGGAGGGGCCAACCAATAATGACCAGTGCACCTTCCCTGCCACACCTGCGGGGCAGCCAACCACCAGCCAAACTCAGTATCCCTCAGCACTCCCGTCAGTCACGCCTCAAAGACAGAATGTGTTGTGTTGTACTGATCTTTCTGTTTACCTATAAGTTTCTCCTATAGATTGTGAGCTCCTTAAAGGTAGAATTTGTATTCCCAGTCAGTACAAGAAACATCTGTTGATATACATATATATCTACCCTATCTTTCCAGAATCCTCAATCATTTTAGGATAATAATAAGACTTACATAGACATGATTCAATTAGAATGGGTTTTAGGGACACAGGAAATTAATTGCTGAGTTAATGCCCAAATATGTGGCACACAAAAAAAGTGCCAAGGGAGGCCAGGTGGGAGAGAGACTGATCCCTTCATGTGTATTTTATATATGGGATGGGGCTTGACCCAGACCTTGAAGGATTTTTTAAGGCAAAGAGGGAAGAGACGTTTAAGAGAGACATTCAGCATGTGACAAAGTTTGAAGGTAAGAAAGGACGTTGGGGGTGTGTGTAGGTGTTGGGAATGGGAGTGGGGAAGATGGTGAATGTAAATAAATAATATAAAATACTTAAAACAATGTCACATACAAAATTATTGGCATCACCCTTAGTATTATTATTGTTACTATTAATTAAAACTTTTAGTTCAAAAGTTTATTCCTGCACTCTTTAGATCTTCTATCTGAAAGAAGAAAAAAAGAAGACTCCCTTATTGCTTTTCATCCTGTTGTTAATTTGCTTTTTAAGTTAATTTACACTAATAATTAATTTTCATTAATTATTTACTGGGGAGTGGTAGTTACATGCTAGAATGTGGTGGGAGGCCGGACTGGCCAGGATCACCTGTGAGCGAAGACCACCAGCTTAGCGATGCCAATCTATCTGCCATCTGAGCCAGAGAACCGAGGCCAGTGTCTGTCCCTCTGCAGATGCTGCACCCCCTGGCAGTTTTAGAAATGAAAATACAGCTGCAGTTCAGCAGCAGCAGCCCTTTCCCTCTTCAGGAATGCCCCGCTCCTCTCTCTCCGAGCAAAAGGTAAAAAGCTCGTCAAACGTATTCTCCCTCAGGTCCTTTCAGGAGATCTATAGTCTAAGGTTTTATAGGTAGTGGGTGTAAAAACATGGTTTAAAGATATAATCTTCAGCTTGACACGGCGTCTTTTGAAAAGTAAATTAATGATAGAATGAAAAGCAATAAGGAGATGCTTTTTTCTATTTTCCCCCTTTGAGATAGAGGAAGATCTAAAGCATTCAGCACTCAATGAATCTCCTCTGAACTACATGCCTTTAGGGTGAGGAAAATGGACAGAGAGAAAGGGTAGGCTTCAAACACCACATTGTAGAAATGAGAGATGGCAGCGGGAAGCCACAGGGCTGTGCGAGGAAGGGGCTGTGTTGCAGCTCAGCAAAGGGCACTTGTTTTCCACGAGGGCCATCCAGGCTCCTACCCCTTCACTGGGGAATGGGTGAGCTCTTGTGCCAGGCCCCGTGCTGGGTGCCAGGGGTACAGAAATGAATCAGACATGGCCCTGGCCCTGGAAGAATGCTTGGTCTGGGAGAGGCTGTGGACCATGGTCCCGTAATGACTAGCCCTTGGCACTCTCTCTGACTTTGTTTTTTTCCCTCACTCATGCTCCAACCACTCAAGTCTTTGTGCTGTTCCTCACACACGCCCAGCTCTCTCATGCCTCAGGACCTTTGCACTTGCTGCCCCCTCTGACTAAAACGCTCATCCCCTAAATGAGCTCACCCAAGACTCACTCCCTTGTTTCATTCAAGTCTCTGTCAAATATTACCCCTCCAAATACCTTACCCTCATTTATTTTATGGCACTTATCACTGTCTGAGATTATAACTTTGTTTATCTCCCTCATCCCCTGTATCCCTCCCCTTTAATATACAATTTTTTTCATGGCTAGATCCCCAGTACCTAGAATAGTATTTGGTCTTAATAGGGGTTCAATAAATATTTGTTGAATGAATGAACTATTTCCAATTTAGCTCCCTAAATAGGCTATGTCTTCCTTGTTCCCTCCGGGCCTTTGCACATGCTACCCAGGAAGCATCCTTGCCTGCCGGCTCCCACCTTCTCCCATCTCTCACCAAGGGTCTTCAGGGTACAGGTTAAGTGTTCATTCACCCAGAAAGCTAACCCTGACCCCTTCCATTCTCCCACACTGCATCAGGTGCTGCCCCTCACACGGCTCTGTATTCAAGCGTTTTACATACCCCACCACTGTAGCCTACTTGTATGCTCCCCACCCAGGGACTTCCTATAGGGTGGATGGGGACCCATATGTACTTCTGGAGCCCCAGCACCTAGCATAGTGTTTGGAGCTTCCCCTTAAAAGCCTGTTGGCTGCTGTTCTCTCTCTGGTCCCTCTATGCTAGAGCAGCGATTTGCTACCTTTTTCATTGCTTGGCACATATAAACTAATTACTACATCTGCAGCACATCACAAAATATTATATTTTTTGCTGATCTTACAAAAAAAGGTATAATTTTGATTCACTCACACTGGACACCTATTGTGGTATTGACTGTTGTCATTTTTTAATTTGACAATCTAAGGAAAAAGAGATCAGTGCTCCTGACTAAATAGTCAGATATTGCAGATTTTAAAAATTTTTTGAAACAGGCTTCGCATGTAGTGTGCGGGAGTTTGTCAGAGAGAACCCCACGGAAGATGCTTTCCCAGGACTCCTGCGTCCTGTCACCTTCCGGGGCACGGAGGAGAGCCCACGCCACCCTAGAGGCTGCACACATTAAAGAGTGAGCCTGCCTTTCCCGCCTTAGTGAAGGAAAGCCCATCGACGCAAGTTAAAAATTCTGCATTCATGGCCTTGGGATTTCCCTACCAATCCCTGGGAGAGATAAAGGAAAATATGTTTCCCTTCTATGTTAACAGCTTAAAATGTGAGACAAATCTTCCCATCCTAACCTATTTTTAACAAACAGACTTTGCTGTCCAGCTGCCTGACACATGTCTGACGGATCTATTTATCCATTCTATTTCTTTAGAGATAGCAGCTAAGAAGTTTTATCTATTATTTGCCTCCCTCCCCCATTCCCATTTTCCTAACCAAGCCTGTGGAGCAAGCAGTTGATGGATGGATGGTGTTTGGGATAAAAGGCGCCGGAATCAGATAGTTTTCAGGATATGAACAAACTGGCTTATTAACAAGGAGGCCCGTCTGGCAGGAGGTGGTGGGGGATGGAGGAGTGGGCACCAGACAATGGTCAGTGATGGATGAAGGAACACCTGGGGTTGCAAGGTGTAGACGTGAGATAACCGATGGACACAGCCAGGGATAATGGGAGCACCCAGGCTCTGGAGCAGCCTCCTGCACAGAGGTGAATGTCAGGCCAGCCACCTGACTGCCTCTGAAAGCCTCCAAGCATTCCCCACTGCAAACACAACCCCTGTTTCTTCTTCTTTTCTCTCTGTAAAATGCAATCTTATGATGCAAGGCAGGGTGGAAACAAAGGTCGGGGACAGATCTTAGGCAGGGCTGGATGTCCGGCACCCTGGAACTGCAAAGCAGCTGCGCATCCACCGCGTGCCAGGCGCTGTGGGGCGATAGCAATCCCTTTGCTTCTGGCTGAGCTTCCCCACTCCCGGGCGCCATACGCCGGGCCTTTCGCGCCTCTTCTGCGCCCCGCTGTACCGTGAAGCTGGAGAGGCAGCAGCAGTGCGCGGCCCTCGGGCTCGGGCAGCCCTGCCCCTCTCAAGCTGTGTGGTCTTGGGCGAGTCGCTCAGCGTCTCGGAGGCTCCGGCTCATCACCTGTCCTTGCTCTTGCTCGCATGGGGAAGATTCACGCTGGATTAGGTGTGTGGACGTTCTTTGTCACTAGTAAAGCCCTCTGCAAATATTAGTTCCTATGCTGCTACATTTTTCCTTAATAACGCAGAGCTTGGGATAGAATAGCTCTCTATGTCCCTTGTTAATACATCTTCTGGGTGCTGAGCTATTCTATGCCTTCCTTGTTCTCATGTGTTGTAGTGGGTTTCACACTGAAACCCTGTCTTTAAAGCACCTTCCAAATGACTTTAAGAAGACAAACAAACCATCCACAGCTCTTGTTGATTTTTTGCGCATCCCTGGAAACGGTGATGTCCAGGATTCAGCTAACTGTGGAGGGCTGGCTTTGCCCAGTTCACAGAATGCTCACAGAGCCCGAGAGGCTGCTACTGCCACCATCCCCATTTACAGATAAGGAAACAGAGGCACAGAGGGGTGCGTAACTTGCATAAGACCACGAAGCCAGTTAGTCACAGCGCCGGGCCATGTCTCGAATGGAGCAGCCTGGCACCAGGGCACAGACTTCTAAGCGCTTTGCTCTCTCCTCGGCCTCTGTGATTCCAGTTCTGCCTGAGAGGCTGTGCTGCCCCTGGGTATCCCAGTGAACCCGCCTCTGAGTTCCCAAGTACCTCAGTACTGGAATCTGGCCAACATTTAAAAAAGACAACTCAGGCCCGGCTGGCATGGCTCAGGGGTTGAGCATTGACCTAGGATCTAGGAGATCGAGGTTCAATTCCCCGTCAGGGCACATGCCCGGGTTTCGGGCTCGATCCCCAGTGGGGGGCGTGCAGGAGGCAGCCGATCAATGACTCTCATCATTGATGTTTCTCTCTCTCTCCCTCTCTCTTCCTCTCTCTCTGAAATCAACAAAATATATTTTTTTAAAAGAAGGAAAAACAACTCAGGGAGAAAGATAGAAAACCCTGATTTCCCATTCAGTAAACAGGGAATCTCAGAGGCTTCAGTGCCCCGTTCCAGCAGGGCGCCGGCCCGTTAGGTTTCAGGTGGCACTCTAGGCTCACAGTGACTCCGTGGTGAGGAAATGATAGTGGGGGCAGGATGCTGGAAGACTCTGTTCTGCAGTGAGCCTTCATTCATCCCCTGCCTCTGCCACACACCGGGCGGGCGTCTTCACCTGTTAAGCCTTAGTTTCGTCATCAGCCTGTACATGCGCTTCTCAGGTCGACTCCAGCGCCACGACTGCAGGCTTTCCTGCTCTCCTAGTCTGTAAAGTTTCCTGGAAGCTTTCTGGTGGTCCCCAGTGGGGGTCCCCAACTCCCCTGAGCAAATATTATCAGCCCCTACCTGACATCAGCTCCCTGCCTCTCCTATTTGACTGTTTGCAGTGCTGCCCATGGTGCTGGCTGAAGGCACCTCCCCCGCCTCTGCTGTGTGGATTGCCCCTGTAGCAGGCTTCTGTACCCCCAACTTCATGATGCCACCACCCTGTGCCATCAATACACTGAAGTTTCTCACTGTCCTGGGAAGGTTCTGCCCTCGGCTCCACTTACCACTTTTTCCATTAGTCCATTAACTCATGCAACAGTTATTCATTGTCGCCTGGGTACTGGGGCGACAGGGGTGCAGCAGGAAGACCCTACCCCTGCCTTCACGGACGTTAGATCTGAGAAGGGTTAAGAGATGACAAATGAGTGAATTATGATACAGGGTCTGCACAGCCTGGAAATACTGGCAATAGACACACTGTGACTAGGGCAGCTTCAATCTGTAAAACAAAATACTTCCCACCAAGGCGCTCATCACAGAAGCCCCCAGGGAGACTTGGCCGGCATCCTAAGGGCTTTCTGCCCCAGGTGCACACTCTCCCTGTGTTGTTTTTCTATAAGTGCCTGGGAGCAGGCCAGAGTCCTCTTTACAACCAAGGTGGCCTTTTCCTCTGGATTCTTTGCCAGCAGGCGCTCCTTCTTCCAGCCTCCCCACACATCCTGCCACCAGCCCATCTTGATTCCCATCATCAGCTCATTCACGGTAAGGATCAGGCTTCCCTTTGAAACTTTCTCTACAAGTCATCTGATAATTGCATTAATATCTACCCCATCAAGTTCAGGTAAAGATTAAATGAGATAATGTAGGCTAAGAGACTTCATAAACCGAAAAGCACTCTATAATTGGCAGCTATTATCATAATAATTATAATAATTATTATTCCCACGGGAGTTATGTTATTAGCCTGAGGTCATACAGGGAGGCGGCACAGACACGGAGCACCGCCCCCTCCACCCCCATCAAGCGTGCAGCGGAGCTCACAGCATTTCAGATTCATGCTTTTGGGCGCAAAACTCCCCCACATCCAGGTATCCTGTGGTGTGTTTGCGCTCCCAGCACCACTGCCAAGCCACCACCTAGACTGTGCCCCACGGAGACTTGCAGCTCCTATTCGGGTCCACTGGTGTGAACTACAGTTGCCAAGGCTTTCCAAAAGAACAGTTTGTATTTATTTTGTTTAATTCTCACACTATGTTTGAGCCTCCTCCTGAATGCATTTGTTTGCAAAAAGAGCCACGAGGGGAAGTTCAGCCCCCAAATAAGAATGTAATTATTACACAGTTTAGCAGCGCCTGGGCGTCACCCGGGTATTTGCTGGGGCTCCACAATTCAATTTTCTCTCCTTCAAGACCCCATTTAATAGGATAAACAATTTCTGCTAAATGCAATAAACACGAACCTGGGCTGTCATTTCCATAATCAACTCAAATTTCCCATTAGAAGTGGTGGCTGTGATTGAGATTCAGAATTTAATTTGGCAGCACCGGCTTCCACGCACTGGTGTCGGCTTCCTGGGAGCCTCCCGTCAACCAAAGACAGAACCGCTCTCCCCTGTCTCTGGGGAATCTTAAAAGAAGATAGATTATAACTCAAGAAAATTATACGCCCTCGGTATAATGAAAGAGATAAAACATTATTGGATTAGCCTGTGGAAGTAACAGCAGACAACAAAGAAATAATATTAAGACAAAAAAGGCCCAGGCCCGTGAGCTCAATGTCAGGGGCCACGGGGATTCAGGAGTGCAGACAGGATCGCCACACTGACTGTGTTGTGACAGCCCCTGAGCACAAAACATCAGCTCCTTCCCGTGGCTGCTCAGTTCCCGATGGCTGGTGGGGCCAGACTGGTGACACCATGCTTTGGTGTGTCACGGACACGTTAAGGTCACACCATTTGGGACACACCATGCTTTGGTGTGTCATGGACACGTTAAGGTCTTAGGCCCCAGCACTAAGCCCCAATGGCAAACCCAAAGCAGATGATATAAAAACCAACCAACCAACCAACAACAACAAAACTGGTTGAAAATGAGTAAGATAAGCCAATTCACCTTCCACTAACTTTCTTTTTCCTAGCAATTTGATTTCAGTAAATTCACATGAAATTCTGGAACCAGACAGAAAGTACTCAAGAGCAAATAAAATATTAAGGGATATTTTAATATCATAGAACAAATGAGTGCAATAAAGACTGAATGATCACTTGACTCAGTCTACTAGTAAAAACATTTTGGTTTTTAGTAACCTGAAGATCAACTGCTGCCTTATTCTCTTCTCCAAGCACCTCCCTCCCCCAAGTGGGATTTGCACAAAAGCCTGAGTGAGCCAAGTAGAATGCACAGAGGTAGGGGAAGGTTTCCATGGCACACTGCCCCACAGCCATCAACTTGGACTTCTCCTTGACATGTTTCCTCTCCCAGCCAACACTACCTCTCCTCTATATTCTTCCATTCTTTTTTTTAACTGTCTCTCATTCAGTGATCAGTTTCCCTGGCTCTTATCGCCAAGTCAGGATCTTCTCTGGTACCCACTCATGTCATCACAATTCAGCTCTGCCCCAGAACTCCTGCTTGCAACGTGCACAACCACATCCTTCCTGTGCTCAGCATTCAAGGGAGCTGAGGGTCCAGAATCCATGCCCCTCAGGATGCATGGGTGAAGATTTGTCAATCTCACACACACACACACACACACACACACACACACACACACACACACAGAACACTGTCCCCCATGTTTTATTTCATCAAATATTCTTCGTTAATCAAATGCCCAAATTTACTGAGGAGGGAGCATCATAATTACAAGTTTAAAACCCTGGAACCTAAGTGCCTAGGTTTACAGCCCAGCTCTGCCACTTCCTAAATGTGTAACTCTGGACAAGTCACTTAACTGTTTTAAGCCTCACCTGTTTCATAGGGCTAATATATAGCATCCACCTTATAAGGTTATTATGAGGGTGCAATGAATTGACACACCGATGAATTAAGCGCTGTGTTTGGTATAAAGTAATCATTTAATAAATGTGAACTGCCATTGCCATTGAAAGAGACAGTATACTATTCCTCAGGGGAGGAGCAACTTACTATCTATTCATTGATTCATCACTGGACACCTACTCTGTGTCAGTCACTGCTAGACAGTAGGACTTCAAAGTGACTAACTGCCAACACAGTTCCTGCTGGTGAGTGCAAGAAAACTGCAGAGGCGAGCAAAGTGAGGATTACCAAGGTGCTTAAGCCCTTCAGGAACCTATCATTATTTAGTTCACTATGTGTTCCAGCCAATGTGACTTTTACAAATCTTTATTGTAAACATCCTGTGTGGCACCGCCCTTTAGCCCTGGGCTGGCTCCAGGTGGGAGCGAGTGTGGGGTGAGCAGCTGGTGTGGGGTGAGCTGCCTGAGCTCCTAGGGTTCAGAACGCTTGCTGTGTGCAGCCCACAGTGGTGTCATCAGCCAGGAGCCCTCCCTTCTTCAACAGGTAAGTGTTTCTGAAGCAGGGCCCAAGCAGGGGCTGCCCCCATTTTGAGGAGGTGGGTTGTTGCACTGCCTTTGTCGTGTTTTATGTCCTCCAGAACATGGAGACCAGTCTGACCAGCAATTCCACTGCCCATCAATGGGGACATCTGTAAGAAAGAAGGTCAAGGAACATTAATTAGCCTTTATTACACTGCAGTGCCCTATAGGTGGGGTGGGATGTATAATCCAAAAGGCTTTGGGAGTCTGAATCTCTGATATTCCCCCTTCAGTCAGCCATCCTTCTTTTAGGCCATTGTTCTCACCATGCTTCCTTCTACCACAGGGCCTTTGCACATGCAGTTCCCCCTGCCCAGAACACTCTTCTTCTATTTATCTAGTCAATTCACCCTTCAGATCTCAGGTTAAGTGTTATTCCTACATGGAAACCTTCCCTGACCCCAACTCCCTATCAATTCTTCATATTTGAAGCTCTCAGAACATTTTATAGCAGTTACAATAAAAACTTTAAATCTATGTCTGGGACAATTCAAATAATGTTGGCCTTTCTTTCTAAAGGGGGTTCTCCATGGTGACGGGCACTATATCTGATTTGCTCAGCACAGACTCCTAGCATCTAGGCTGGCATATTGGAGGCCTTTAGTGAATATTTGCTGAATAAATGATTTCCAGCTTAGATGGTTCTCAGCTATAGGATGCTGGCTAGTTTACTTCTCATGTTTAAAATAGGAGCTATGCTATCTACTGTGAGCCTTGTGTGTGTTAAATGAGGTAATAACACTGACATTTGCCTTTCTCCTGGGGATTTTTCGGTTGATGAGGTTGGCAAATGATCACTTATATCCAACATGATACCTATCATGTGTCTGGCTGAGCCTCTAACTCACAGTGTAATTCTGGTTACACTACTTAATATCTCTGAGACTCCCCATTTGTAAGATGAGAAGGCTGGGATAGGAGTTTTCCAAGGTCTCTTCCAACAAGTAGAAACCCTGTGGCTGTACAATTGCACACTCCCTGGCAGATCACTGTGCGGGGCGTGGTTGAAATGTGGGAGGAGAGGGAGTGATGTGGGAGGAGAGGGAGTGAAGACAACCCTGAGCATGTCGCTGGGGAGGGGAATAGTGCAGGCAGGAGTCAAGATCAAAGACTAGAGAGTCAGACCCACTGAACCCGAGCCTGGGTTCCTACATGTACCTAGTGTGTGACCACTGGGCAAATTAGTTCATAACCCATTAAATCTCAATTTCTTCCTCTTTCAAATGGGGATATTGATAGTATCTACTTTATGAGGTCATTGTGAGGATTAAAGGACTTAATATGTGTATAATACAAACTTAATATATGTAAACTAAAAATATGTAGAATAGATGTAAAATTGATATATGTAAAACACAAAAGGATTTAATACAGATAGCACTATTTACTTAGCTCTAAAACAAACTAAGCAATATTTATTTGGCCCTTACAATGTGTTCAGCATCTTCTATGTGCTTTAAATGTCTTGTGAGAAACTCACAAGCTATGAGATAGTTAATATCATCATTTCCATTTTACAGATGAAGAAACTGAGGCACAAAGAGGTGAAGTGAGTTGCTCAAGGTCACAGTTATTAAATAAAAGAGATGGAATTTGAACCCAGCTGAGTTAAGCACTCAGCAAGGAGCCTGGTACACTCAGTAAAGTACCTAATAAATGTTTAGTGTTTCTATTTGATGTGCCATTTCCTTTTTTAATGGTATCACCAAAAAGTCACAGAAAGAAAAATAAAGGGAAGGAGTAGAGGGTTGAGAACTTTCAGATAATAAAGTTGCCAAGGAATTTGAGACCTGGAAGGGATCTTAATAATAGTTCAGTCTTTCATTTGTTACTTCAACACATATCACTGAGCAGCAACTGTGCTGGGACATGGGGACACAGAGGTAAATTTAACATGATAATCCCTACTCACAGACACAGGGGGAAATGGACACACAAAATCCTAAATATAATGTGCGGAGAGCTATAACAAATATATGTTCAAAGTTCTACAGGAGTCCAAAGGGAGAACTATCTAATTCTACCTGGAGAGGGGGAGGAGTTAGAAGACTTTCTATAGAACAAGGGGCATCTGCACTGGATTTTGAGGGCTGAATAGGAGTTCACTAAATAAATTTAAAAAGGTAAGCATTCCAGAATGACCCAAAGAGATGACCTGCAAATGCCATCAGTCATCCTACAACATGAAGCACTCTCAGTTGTGACAATAATGAAATATACAATCTGGAACCAGGATGGATCTCAAGTTCCAAAGCATCCACCTCCCTACCACACACCCTCACCTTGCTCTTGCTCTTTCATACTATTCTCTGGACTTCCCTAGAGTTCCCTTTCCCCACCAACCCTCAAAGACTCCTTACTTTTCCGTAAAGTGATTTCACAGCCTTGGCCTTGAAATCCATTAGGACAGACGCAGTCACAGCGTGATCCTGAAAGACAATGCAGAGAGAATGTGAACTACAACCCCGTGATGCAGAGAATTCTTGGAGCTCAGTTCTCTACATCACTGCTTTTCCATTTGGTTAGAAGAGGGCAAACATTTAGTTGAATGTTTTGAATTAGGAAGGTCCAGTGCCAAGAATACCTGCTCCTTTCTTGAGGATCCTTTGCTCATTTATTGCCATCATGGGGAATTATATGGATTTGTTGAGGAATATTGCTCATTAGCAGAAACTTGACCTAGTCTCACGTGATCAGAGTCAGAAGCTACGCTTGTGGTCAGTGAGGCCAATGGTCATTTTCACCACCAGTAATTTTCTGGCCTCCACTTGCACACCTCTAGTGATGAGGAACTCGCCACCCTTAGATGTCTCATCCTACTCTAGCCAGCTCTAATACGTTGTAAGTTATTCCTTATGTTAATCTGTAACATATCACCCTGGAGCTTTCTCATCTGGGTCACACTGAATCTCTTCACAGGACTGTCTTTCATACATCAGGCCCTGCAAGCATCCCAGTCCCTGTCTCATATTTTCCCTCACCTCCAGTGTAGAACCTCAGGTGGGTCCCAGTTCCCAGGTCCAAATTTCACACAAGGCAAGGGGGATCAGCAACTCTAGATCCAAACCTTGAGCCAGTGAGCTGATTTCCTTCCTGCTGAACGGACCCTCCCTTAGGTGCCCTTGTCCTGATGGCAGAACTTCCCCGCCTCAGGCTCTCGCTTACGTCGCCTGTGCTCATATCCATCTTGTCGGACAAGTTAGACGCCTGTTCCACAATCTCAGCTCGGTAGCTGGGCTCTTCCTCCATGAGAACAGGTCTTTTCTGGACCCCTCTGCTGAGCTTGCTCCATCCACATGGTTTGTTCTGCCAACTCCAACAGGCTCCCTGGGCTGCGCTCTGCCAGAACCAGTTGCTCTATGTGCCCTATTTTGGCATCAGGCTGGGCTGGATGTTTCCTCAGAGTTTTGCTAGCCCATCACAAGAGCATAAGATCCCAGGCCCCAGCCTCTCCCAGGTTGGTCCTGCCCACTGCAGTGACCCCAATGTGATCTGCAAAGTTAGGAATCAAGTTCTAGTGACCCATCCTTGCCACCGCTCCCCAGTCCCCTAATCTTCTCATCATGTCTTGGTCAGGAAATGCACACAGGGTTTCCTCTGCTCAGCCCAGGGCCCGTTCTTTGGCCAGAAGAGATTTCCTGAGTCCATCCCCACTCCTTGTTACAGATCACACAGCTCAACCTGCTCCTGTCTTCAGTCTCATGCTGCTGTGGCCCACCATATCCCTTGTGGCTGGAACCCAGGTGCCCTGACAGCCAGAGCAGCATGGCTTAGCTGCCTGACTCCTTGGAGCTAGACTAATACGTCTACCGCTTGGCACATTTCAACGTAACGCTTTGGTCAGGCCTGACTCTCCCACTAGTCTATAAGCTCAGGGAAATCCTCGATCCTTTCTGTCCCTGAATTCAGCTACAGAACAGCTTCCCAGCCCCAACTCTACAGTGGAGTCACATGGGAAGCCTTTCAAAGGCCAGTCCCAGTGATTCGCTTTAATTACTTTGGGCAGAGGCCCACAGCTCTGTGTTTGTGAAAGCTCCCTGGCGATTCCCACGTGCAGCCCGGGCTGGGATCCACTGCCTCAGAGGAACGGCATGCGCTCTGCCCTGAGCTGCACCTGAGTGCAAGGGTCTCCTAGGTCCAGTCCAGGACAGGCGAGGGCTTCAGCAGCTGTGAGTCACACCCAGGCTGCAGGTTAGAGCTACCTGGAGAGAGAGTCACCATCCTGATGAGGGGCCTTCTCCAGAGATACTCACATCATGGCCCGGGTTGGGGCGCAAGCATGAGCAGTTCTGCAGGTCTCGAGTGCAGGCACACCTCATTTGATTGTATTCTGCTTTATTGCCCGTCAAGGGTGTTGCAATTTTCACAGATGGGAGGCAACGCCCTCCACCAGCAAAAAGGTTAAGACTTGCTTAATTGTGATACCCACTTTATTCCGGTGGTGGGTAACCAAGCCCGCTTTGTCTCTAGGTATGCCCATGGTTCCAATGCCCAGTTAGGCCAAAGACACTCAGTTTTAAGGGGCTCCAAACAACCAGGGGGCCCTTCCCCCCCTTGAGAAAATGAAAAGAGCTTCAGGAAAGGCCCCAGGGCCTGAGGCAGAGGGCTAAGCATTAACCTAGAAACTCTTCTTGAGCTACTCTGGAGGACATGTGATTTTGATAACATGTTCTGGCCCCAGAACCAGCCCATCCAGATGATGGCTTCCCCAAGGGATACCAGCTGCCTGGAAATGGTACCTTTAAGGACAGGGACTCCATTCCCTTGGCAGGGAGCACAGAGGCAGGAGCTGACTTCCTTCTGGAACTGCTCCAGGGCCCGCTTCATGTTCTGCTTCACGGTGCTGGAGTAGGCGAAGTCTGTGGCGGTCACCAGCTCATACAGAGGCTCTGCCTGGGGAAGGAGCGAAGGCATTATGTCAACGGACGGCATTCATCAAATAGAAGCGGAAAGCAGGGCTCCACAGGAACGGGCAGAAGGTCAGTGCACCGAGACCAAAAGTGGATTCCTATGGAGCTGGAAAAATGCCACAGCATGCAGATGGATGCCCCACCGTCTGTTCCACTCCACCCGCTATCCTCAGATCAGTTCACTCAAGTTCAGGTCAACCAGTACTTACGGCATACCTCCTAAGTGCCAGGAATTCAGCACAAGTAAGGAATAAAATAAAATCCCCACTCTCAAGATACTCAGAATCTAGACATAGAGATAAACGTGTTACAACAGATTCTTACAGCACAGTGGTGACAGGTAACAGTGGAAACTTGTACTGGGTAGAGAGGGGCAGGTGGCTTGTCTGTCTTTAGTGCGGGGAGGAGGTGACTTTTGGGCGGCTCTTTGAAAGCATTAAAGCAACCTGGTCCTAACATCACTCCCCCTCCAAATCCATCAAAAGCATCCTGCAAGAGCCACTATCAGGAAGCCTTGCCCAAGCTCCGAAGCTCCCGGAACACCTTCCCACCACGAAATGCTCAGAAAGCTCTTTCCTATGCGTCTGATACAAATTCTTTTTGCTCCCTTGCGGTCATTACACGTTTCATGTGTTGAAATCTCTCTCTTCCTCTCCCTCTTCTCTAATTAGGTTGTAAGCTGGAGATCAGGGCTACAAACTGCTCAGTTCTGTCTCTAGGCTCCGGCCCTGCGCTTAGTGAGAGCTGCTGATAAAGTGGGTAATTCCAGGGGTACTGCAGGCTCCTCATGAGGGCAGTGCAGCGGGCGCCGAGGACAGCGTGCGGGTGGCAGAGCCACAGAAGCAGGAAGAGCCGCGAGGGCCCTCAGAGGGCACGGCAGGGTTGAGAACCCGAAGCCACGGATCGAAGTGGTGGCGCTCACAGGTCAGGAAAAACCAGGGGCAAAGTCCCAAAAGGCAGTTAGAAATGTGCAGTCTCTTGGCTCTAGTTTCAGCTCCAGGGCCAGGTTCCTCTCCAGATTTTGTTAACCATCCTGCCCTAATTCAGCCCTGGAGAGTTTAGGGTCTGTCTAAATGCAGGCAATCATGCCTAATAGAAGCCTCCAGTGAGAAGAAAATTGCTTCCATTTCTTAATGCGTCTGATGCTGACCTTCACCCCGGTGGGCAGAGCAAGGCCCCTTGGTGGTCCCATTGTCTCACCATTTTGTGGTCAATGAATTGATCCAGGGGCTGTTTGCAGAACCTTCCAGCCTGCTGGCCCACACATAGGGGAGGGTTTGCTATACACAAACCATGAGCCCTTCCAACAGGCAGCCTTCCCTACAGAGGACCCTGAAAGGCCGCCTTTAACCATCCAGACGTTTTCCTACGAGCACTATTGGCTCCAGGAGACAGAGCAAGTCAGAGGCAGAACTGGACTGAATCTTCCACATCTACTGTGTGCCGGGAGCGGAGCTGGTGGTTTACAAATATGGCCCCACTTTATTTTCATAAGGTAGTAGCCATTGGTCCTGTTTTCAGGAGAGGTTGAGTCACTGAACAAAGTCAAATAACTCACAAAATAGCACTGCCAGTCTTCTAGTGCAAAGCCTTTGTTCTTCCTACTAGTTCATGATGGTTATTGATACAAATGGTTTGACTATTTCCACTTCTAACCTCTATTTCAGTGTTCTCCAAATTTTGCAGACTTTTGTGGAGTTCTGAGCAGCAGCCTCTCAGAACCTCACAGCTCCCTCTTTAAATTACGTTAATATGACACATCTGTCTGTTCTTTGGTTGGCTGGGCCTCTTTTCCTGTCTTTTTCTCTTTTCTCTTCTCCTTCATCCCTCCCTCCCTCTCTTCCTCCTTTCCTCCCTCCTTTTTTCTTTCCCTCTCTTCCCAAAACACACAGTCCTAACTACGCACATTGATTATTAGGCCCTTAGTACATCTGTCCTTATAAAACTTTTATTTATCGTATTGCTGCAAAGAGATGATGGGTGCTACCTATTAAACGTCATGAAGTTCTCTATAACGGACCCTGGTGTTTGACATTTTTAATGATAACAAATAATTATTGCCACAACTAGCATATATTAGGTGCTGAACTAAACACTTCACATGCATTATCTAACTTAATCTTCACAACAGTCTTATGAGCCAGGCAGTCTTCTGTATTCCCATTTTACAGATGAAAAGGTTAAGGCACAGAAAAGTTAAATAGATTAACCAGAGCCACACAGTAGTGGGAACTGTTACCACCATGGTCTATTTCCTTTCAGTATATATTTTTGGATAGATAGATGGAAAAATATTTACACCAAATAGGTGGCTCAAGACAAGTGTAGTTTTATATTCCACCCTTTTCACTTCACATCATATTATGAGCATAAAATGATTTTTTATGGCTACATAATATCCTGCTGTAGGATGAACTAGAACATATTAGACTCTTGCCCTGTTATTAAATCTTTAGGTTGTTTCCCTATTTTCTTTTCTCTTTTGCTATTAAAAATAACATAAAACAAAGCATGTTTCTATACGCACATCTTTACTAACTTTTAAAATTATTTGTTTAGCTGATTCTGCATTTAGGGTTATTGAATCAAAAGCCATAAGCATTTTTAGTGGTGTGTGTGTGTATCCCTACAATCCTTTAGGAAAATAATTTAACTATATATATATAAACCTGGCCACCCTGTACGTACTTCTTCTATTATCTCAACATGTCTTTGGGATGTTTTATCCATTAAGGATCATTTCAATGGGTCACAGCTTTTTCCTTCCAGAACTCGTGGCTGTCACTCCAGTATCTTCAGGCATTTAGTGTTGCAAAGAATTCTAAGACCAGTATGACTTTTATATTTATAGGCTATTTGTTTCTAAAAGTATAAAGAAAAAAATCACCAGGGTGTGTTTCAGTACAGTTTTTTCTTCTTCTTCTTTTTCTTTTTGTTCAGTACTTTTGCCTACTTTTCAATGACTGGCTCATTTCGCACTGTCAGCTCAGGGAAATCTCTCTCGTTATGTGTTTGATTAATGCATCTTCTAATGTAATTTTGTCTCTTACTCAGGAGGAAGTCCCTGAGTTTTAGATTTCCACTCTGTAGTCTCTGCCCATCATATTTATGTCATTGTTTTAATCTCATCTTTTGCTCCTACATTCTACAAACATTTTTATAGCACCTTCCCCATCACTGCCTCGATTTTCTGCAGTGCCGATTCCATTCTTTATAGTTTCCACTGTAGGATTTAATTCTGCTACCGTGCCTTTGGTTTCCTATATTCAGCTCCTTCCCTTTTCACCTGATTAGTGTCTAAACATCCCAGCCTCTATTTTTAAGTTCACCAGTTCCTCATTTTCTTAAATTTTGTTATAATCACAAAGCAGGTGCGTTCCCAACTTACTTCTGTTTTTCTGTGTTTTATCTATTTTTTTATATTTCAGACATATGCTTGTCTTCTGCATCTTGAATGCCACGTCAGTCTTCTGTGTTTAGAATTCCCTTCCTACGCCTGTCGCCTTAACCCTCCTCTGAGCAGAGAGCCGTCTCTCTGTGTCTGAAGCTCCCGGGTGACAGTGTGGACGGGCCCCCCGCGGCTGCTGCCCTGCCCGCCTGGCTCCTCCAGAAATCACGTTGCAGACTGTGATCTTCGACGCCGGGTTATGTACACAAGCCTCGGCCAACACTTGGGTCTAGGAATCACTTATATGGTGGGCTCTGCTCTCCTGGAAGCAACCACTGCTCCAGCTACCTGGTCGTCTGACTCTGCAGAGAAGAATTAGTCAGGGATCATGGAACGCCATCTGCAGTTTTCTCTTGCCAGAAACTGCAGGAAGGAGTGGGACGCCCAGAATGTATGTTTCCCACTCAGGTTAGCGACACACAGAGGAAGTGTGTAAAAACCTCCAACAATCCTGCCTCCCCTTCTCCTGAAAACATCTCTGATTCTCTAATGCCTTCCCCTCTTCCAGCCCAAACAGCCCTTCTTATGCCTGGCACTTGAGATTCCCAATGCCCAGGCTGGCACACCCAACCTATTTAGGTAGGTAATCAGGGGAATCGATTAATTCTAAGTTTTAAATAAAAGATTCAGGTAAGAGATAAGAAAAATGTAAACACCACGGGTCTATTTTCCCTGAACTCTGTTCCCTCCCCTGCCTATATGTGACACCAACCAGTGTCACCACGCCGTCAGCCAATCCCAGATTTCTCCAGAGCTGCCCGCACCATTATCCTCCTCGATGCTTGCCTAATTGTCACCACCGAATAGAGGATTTCAATGGCAGCCTCCTTGTTCTGCAGAAACTATGCATTTGACATACAAATAAAGACCTTGTGGGAAATTGCAAGAGCCTCCCCGAAGCTCCAGCCCCCCAGCTCCCCTCCTTCGCTGCAACAGTAAATCCCCAGGGGCTGGACGCTGGACCATCAGTGGCTATACAGGTGATGGCAAGAAGAGGGCGTGCGAGATGTGACACGGACACCGTCCTGAAGGCCCCACAGGCAAGGACCTACCGCTGCTGATGTGTATGACAGTCTGTTCTAGCAAACGTCTTTTTAGTTTAAGTTTGCGAAACTGCTCTTGTTTGGGTGACAGGTGGTTGGGATTATTATTTTTTATTCACTACACCCTCAGGAAAGTCTGGAGGTGACAGGAAAGGTGCAAGTCTCGGGCCTGAACTTGATAGAGACTTCCAAGCAGCCGCAGGTGGGTGCAACCTCTGTGACCTTGATTTTGATCAGCCACAAAAGAAAGATAAGCGTATTAACTTGCAGACTTGTGGGGATTAAATGAAATAACCCTATTAAAGCCCCTGGCCGAGTGTCATGGATACAGTAGGTGCCCAAAAGATGTCAGCGATTACTACGATGTATTATCCTGTCCTGTGTCTTACTGTCCCGCATAGACTGTCGTTTTCTTCCTTGCACCTCCCTCTATTTTCCTCCAGTGCCTCAGTTCCTATCACATTTCAGGAACACAGCAACTGTTTGTTGGTTGCCTAAATGAATATTTAAATGAGCAAATAACTGAATGAGTAATTCTCCGATGAAATGGGAACCACGTTAATGTAAGAGGGCTGGAATTAGAAGCTGGTGGTTAATTTTCTTTAGCTCCGTGGGGCCCAAGTGAGAGGGAGTCAGGGACGTCTGCTGGTGCTCAGCAGTATATTGTGATCAGTTCACTCCAGGTTATTTTCCACTGTGGCGTATGCGCCTCCGGGTTAGGGCCCGAGTCTCTCATTGGCCCGTATAGAGGGAAGGGTGGGTGGAGCGCTGCCCAGCCGTACCTGAATTTTGATGATGTCGGGGTTGTACTGCACTGCGTCCCCCCACTCCTGCATCAGCTCCGCTGTCGGCAGGTCCTTGTACGCCAGGGCGGTGACATACTCACTTGCTCCTCCTCGCACGCGGACCACCAAGTCCTCTATTACGCTTTGTCTCTTGTTTCTGTCTGATATGGACACAGAGACCTGGAATGTCAGGCAATCTACTTTTGTAGCTTAGAGTTTACTGTAAACCAACCAACAACCTGGTTACCATGATATCCCCCGAGCTCGCCCTGGAGAAGTGGGCAGACAAGACGCATATCCCTGCCAGCAAGAGAGTCACATTGCAAGGGGCAAAAGGCAGCTCACCCCGTCATATAGGATGCTAGCCGGGGGCAGAACAAGAGGGACATTTATTTTGAGCATCTATAGATGCCAGTCACTAAGTGAATCAATGGAAGATAGATATCCGATAGATGGTTATGGATAAATTAATAAATCATGGCTATGTAAATAGGTTAGTAGATAGCTGATAGATACATACCTATATACACACATACATTCATATGGGTAGGTTGATAGATCATGAATAGGTAAATAAATTGGTAGATGATAGGTACATAAATGCATACATACATAGGGATAGATTCATAGATCATAGATAGGTAAATAGATTGGTAGATAGACAGGTTATTGATCATTATGTGTCAGTCACTAATCCAAATGTTGTACATATAGTCACTCAATTTTCACTACAATAGAGAAACTACATAATCCTTACTTTGCAGATAAAAAATCTCAGGCACTGGTGTGAAGGAATTTATGCATATAGTCCTGCCCAAGTTCTAAGCTATATGGCTTCTTTGTGTGGGATGGCAAAGCCGGGGAAATTTTAAAGGCTGGGCTCTGTACAGGATACATACCTATGAAAGAATATCCACTGTAAAGCAATTATTATTTTGATTTTTCATGGCGTTTCCCAGAAAGCTCTCAATCATATCAGTGAGTCATTCCCATTCCAATTTATTTATGTGCCCAAGGCCAAAAGAGCTGGTGTAAAGTGACGACTGCTCAGTTCTGAGCCTGTGACACCTGTTTGTCATACTTAGGCAGTCTCACTACTGTGGGTAGGAGTGCAAACTGGTACAACCATTTTAGAAGACAGCTTGGCACAATCTAGTCCCGAAAAAGTACATGCTCGACAACCCAAAAATCCCACTCCTAGGTGTAGTCCTTAGAAGGGCACTTGCACATGGGGACCAGATGACTTGTGAGAATGCTCAGAGCAGCATTGATTCTAACTGTATGAAATAGCAAGTGACCCAGACTCAACAGCAGAACGGACTAACTGTTGTATACACACAGTAAAATACTATGCAGCAATGGAAATGAACTAACTGTAGTTATACACAAAAACATGCTATTGGATGAACAGAAAACACCCACAGAACTGAAAAGATTCCATTCCATCCACATACAGCTCAAAAACAAGCAACACTGAGCCATACCGGTCAGCGGTACATGTGGGTGGTGAAACTGTTAAGAAAGGAAGAACATGTTTAGCACAGAAGTCAGGATAGTGTCCTCTCCAAAAGGAAGGGAGGAGCTGTGACCGGCAAGGGTTTCTGGGTGCTGAGCGATGTTCTGTCTAGTGACCTGGATGGGGCCACTTCACAGGTGGTCTCTAAAGAGCACCTGTGTTTTATGTATG